CCCCCTTCCGGGGGCCCCCCCTATGGGGGGGGGGGGGGGGAAAGCCCTGCCTGTGAGTTAATCTTTGCGGGATCCGGCTGCAAGGCTTCGATAGCCGAGCCCCCCCCTCCCCTTTTTGGCAAACAGCGCTGTCCCTTTAAGCCTTCCAGAGCTGCCCTCCCCATCAAAAGCGGCGCCCGGACCCTGAAAGAGGAGACTTCGGCCAGGTTGCAACATCCGGTGCAGGATCTATATCGACGGCAGGTGGAGGGAAGCCAAGACGCCGCCCCCCACCCCACCTACAAATGATTTGGTCTTGGGTTTTACATAAAGACAGAAGAGCCAGAGGAAGGGGGGAGGAGGGGAGGGGAGGTTGAAGTATAGCACCCGGGTCGTCCTAAGCGGGCGACTGCTGCTCTCCAGGGGCCACTCCAACCCACAGCGGCCCCCCCCCCCAATGCCCACTTCTGCAACCGGGCGCCCCAGCGAGACGGCCGGGCCCGCTGTTTCAAGGGCGGGAGCCATTGATCGCATTTTAAGCACGTTTGGGAGGGTTACTCCCCATCCAAGAAGCACACGGGAGCCGCGTTTCTCTCTCTCTCGGGACTGAAAAGCTTATCCCCCCCCCGCGACTTACTTGCGAGTAAACCTTCCCGGGATCCGGCTGCGAGGCTCTTCCTCCGCTCGCAGATCTGAATGGCCCCTCCCCGGTCCCTCTGGCCATTCAAAAGCAAATCTTCCTCCCCCCCCCTTGCTCGGTCTCTCTAGGGGATGCAGCTGGCTCAGTTTAACCCTGGATCGCCCCGTCTAGAAGTTCAGAGCCTCACCTGCTGTTAGATCGCTGCTAACAAAGATCCGGAGAGCGATTTCAGCAAAGTGATCAGCTTCAGTGTCAGAAGGAACCAGCGCTTAAAAGTATCCATAACCTGAACAGATTAACATTGGGAGCGAGGCTCCTTTTAAACGTTCCCGGGCTAATGTAGCCACCAATGAGGTTGTGCGGATAAGGACCAATGAGAGTTCTTCCCACTCAGGGCATTAGTCCCCTTCTGATTGGTCGTTGTTTCAGGGCGACCAATAACAACTCCAGTCCGAGGAGCCTTGTCTGGCTGGAAGCTTAACATGGGGAATCAATGGAGGGATTCATGTCACCGTTTTCAATACACTACACCTGCCATTCCAGTGCATTTGGGAAAGCGGTGCCTTGCACAGGGAAGCTCACACCTAGAGGCTGCGGTCACACTACACACACACTGAATAAGCCACTCTCCAAGGGGATTTGGCCAGTTCACACCCTTAAATCCAGTTGGAAAGTGCCCTGAAAGTGGGTTATTTGGTGTGTCCCAGGCGGCCTGAACCAACCTTTGCTGGTCTTCAAGGGGCCCCTGGACTCTAAATTTCTCCTGCTGCTTCAGACCCACAGGGCTGGCCCCCTGGATCTACCTGGAGGGCGGGCGGCAGTTTTGGTCTGAAGCAATGTGAGATTGTGAATGAGGTTTTATTGTGACACTACGCTTATTATGATGTTACTCTGCCATTTTAATTGTAACTCAGCACGACTTTGTATTTCGATTACTGTATCTTTTCTGTATATGCCAATAAAAGGCTTTGGGTATTTATTTATTTTTAAATGTATTACCTTCTATGACCAAAGGTCTTAAGCTCAATTATAAAAGATGAATCTACAACGCTAGCCTCACAATACAAACTTTACAATAACATTTTACAGTCGAAGTAATCAAATGTAAAAGGTCTAAAAGGTTAAAACAGGAGTCATTAATAAAACTATAATTCATTTAAATCATAATAAAGGTGTATGCCAAATTCTGTTACAGTTGGGTCAAGCCAGATTTTTGTGGCTTCAAGGCTTTGGATATGCAAAGGGTCTCAAGCAACATAGAACAAACAGATTTAGAGTCCAGCAGCACCTTGAAGACCAACAAAAGTTTATTCAAGGTGCGAGCTTCCGTGAGCATCCACACTTTTTGGAAAACGTTGGAAAGGAACCTAGAGGTTAAACTTATAGACAGAGGCTGAACTGCAAATTAACATGATGATGCGGATGCTTTCAGATGTTCAAAGTCAACACTAAATAACGAGCTAAGGTTATGTCAACAGTTGTTTTGATTTAATTAAAGGGGAGAAGGGCAGCAAAGTGATAAAAAACTTCCTGTGCTTGCTGGCTATCCAAAAGAGTCGAGTGGCACCTTTAAGACCAAGGTTTATTCAGGTACAAGCTCTCCCTCCTCTGTGAGGGCAGATCTGCATGCCCCCCCATAGCTAGCAATCCAAGAGAATCCAGTGGCACCTTTAAGACCAAGGTTTATTCAGGTACAAGCTCTCCCTCCTCTGTGAGGGCAGATCTGCGTGTTCCCCCCCCCCATAGCTAGCAATCCAAAAGCGTCCAGTGGCATGTTTAAGACAAAGGTTTATTCAGGTACAAGCTCTCCCTCCTCTGTGAGGGCAGATCTGTGCATCCCACCCCCCGCTAGCAATCCAAAAGAGTGCAGTGGCACCTTTAAGTCAAGGTTTATTCAGGTACAAGCTCTCCCTCCTCTGTGAGGGCAGATCTGCACGTCCCCCCCCCATAGCTAGCAATCCAAAAGAGTCCAGTGGCACCTTTAAGACCAAAGTTTATTCAGGTAGGAGCTCTCCCTCCTCTGTGAGGACAGATCTGCACGTCCCCCCCCCCCATAGCTAGCAATCCAAAACAGTCCAGTGGAGCCTGTGCAGTGGGTGTCACCTTCTGACACACTTCCAGCCATGTCAGCATATGCAAATAAATCATTCTAATGAGTTCCTGCGCCTCTTTTTCTATGAAATGACCCCTGATTATTATAATATTTTATTTGAGGTTTTCATACATACATAACCAAGCAACATTAGTTTCAAGTTCCTAAATTGTCCCAGCATCAGCACTCCTGGCCTTGGATTGACCCCACCTGATCCCCGCAGGGACTGAAGAGACAAGCCCCCAATTCCTTTAAGTGCTTCAACTCACCTGAAGACATCCCCTGGGCAAGCTCCAGCGTTGGACCAGAGAGCCCGGCAACAGCCAGCTGCCAGGGAATGCAGAGGGGAACCCATGCCGAATCCAAGCCCCGGGCTCTCTACCACACCGACAACCTTCAACACAGCCATCAGGAGGGGACGAGGCAGCAGGGTCGGACGCACCAAGCCTGGGGGAAGAGTGAGGGGCTGACATCGCCCATCCCAGCCTCAGCTGCAGAACAGCCTCCAAGGCATAAGATGGGGCAAGACTGGGCAGAGGGAATGGAGATACCTTGCTATCACCTCCGGTGGCAGGAGAGAGGTCCCTGAATCGAGAGAAGCCACTCTCAGCCGGGAGCAATGTGGCGGCCGCATCCCACGATCCAGAGCAGGCATGGGGAGGTAAATGTGGGGGCAAGTCTAGAATTGGGAGGAGGATATAAGGAGGGTGAACCAGATGGTCGAGGAGGAGAAGACCGGTGGCCCTGAGGGGAGGCAGAGAAAGGGAAGCTGCAGATAAGGGCCCCAGTGGACCTTCGTGGAAGGGTGGTGATGTAACCTCCCTCCCCGGTCAATTCTAAGACCTCTGGAGACCCCCTAGGGGAGGAACCGAAGGCGCGGCAAGGCAAGGCTGCAGGAGGTAGCCCAGGGTGTTCTCGCAGGGTGTTAACAGCATTGGGCGAAGACACTCGTGTTACATACTTCTGCAAGGGGACTTGGAAGACTCAAGATTTTATAGAATGCAGAGGGCAGCCCATCATTGCCTGGCAATGTATTGCCTTTTAGTGTTTTTATTGTGTTTTGAATTTCTGTGTTGTAATTGGAGCTTTTAGGGAAGATTTGTGTTCTTCTGAGAGATTTCATTTATATGTGTTCAAATCCAGATAATCATTAATCAGGGTTTTTTTCCAGGATGCTTCGTGGTGTAAAGCTCTTTATAAAAGTCTGCTAAAATCTCTACAATTTTTCCTGATGAATGATGTAAGGTCCCTTTTTTGATCTCATAGATATCCAATATTCTTAGCTAGATTTTTCTGTTTGACTGTCCGTGAGAGGACTTTTAGAGTCTTAGCTGATTTTTGCTAATACTGCTGTTTAGTTTTCCTGTCTCCGAGAGGTTTCCAGAGCTAGAGCAGTGGTTCTCAACCTTCCTAAAGCCATGACCCTTTACTACAGTTCCTCATGTTGTGGTGACCCCCAACCATAAAATTATTTTCGTTGCTATCATAAGACCATTGAAAATTTGTATTTTCCGATGGTCTTAGGTGACCCCTGTGAAAGGGTCGTTCGATCCCCAAAGGGGTTGCGACCCACAGGTTGAGAACCACTGTTCTAGAGCTTTTTGTTGTGATAAGAGTTGTTTGTAGAGGTGTTTTCCACCTCTTTCTTGTGTTATTTTTCTTAAAAGCTGATCTTTTCCAGAATTGCAGACTTAATTTTGGTTCTTTAATTTTTCAGGCGAGAGTATGTTGAGATGATTGAGCCTCTCAGGATGGCTTTCATCGTGTCCCATACAACTGGAAGGGAGACTTCAGAGTGGGCATTATCCTCAAAAAGTATCTTAATGTCTCTTTCAAGATTTACTTTAATATTTATTTGTACAAAATTGATTTGTCCCAGGGCCAAGTTTGCCCTGTGTTTGTTTCTTCAATTAGTGAGATTGAACAAATTAGGCAAGCCAAACCAAGCATGATCTGTTAGTAATTTAGGACCTATATTTGATGTGATGCAACAGAGACTGTGAGACCAGGATGTAGTCAGTTCTGGTGTATGTATTGTGGCAGGGTGAGTAGTAAATGTAGTCCCTTTCAGAGGGGTGCAAAGATCTCCAGGCATCCTATAGATGGAACTTGTTGAGTAAGGAAGCTCGTTTGGTTTTTGCCAAGGAAGCTGTTGTTATAACAAGTTTGGGATGAGACCTGTCCAAATGTTTATCAGATATGTAATTCAGGTCTCCACCAACAATTACATTCCTTTCTTGAAAGGTCTGGAGTGAGCTAAGGGTTTCATCTAAGAATTGGAGCTGGAATGAAGGGAGAGAGGGAATGCTAATTAAATTTGCAGATTATACTAAATTGGGAGGGGTAGCAAATACAGGATGATCTTGACAGGATGGAAAACTGGGCTAAAACAAATAAAATTAATTTCAGTGGGGGGAAATGTAAAGTTCTGCATTTAGGTGGGAAGAATCAAATGCATAATTATGGGTTGGGGGAGACCTGTCTTGGCAGTAGTATGTGAGAAAAGGATCTAGGGGACTTAATAGAGCATCACTGAACATGAGTCAGCAGTGTGATGTGGTTGCTAAAAAGGCAAATGCAATTTTGGACTGTATCAACAGAAGTATAGTGTCTAGATAATGCAAAGTGATGGTACCACTTTTCTCTGCTCTGGTTAGACCTCACAGAGTATTGTGTTCAGTTTTGGGCACCACAATTTGAGAAGGATATAGACAAGCGGGAATGTGTCCAGAGGAGAGCAACAAAGATGGTGAGTGGTCTGGAAACCAAGTCCTATGAGGAAAGGCTGAAGGAGCTAGGTATGTTTAGCCTGCAGAGGAGATGACTAAGAGGTGATATGATAATTATTTTCAAGTATTTGAAGGGCTGTCATATAGAGGATGGTACAGAGTTGTTTTCTGCTGCCCCAGAAGGTCAGACCAGAACCAATGGGTTGAAATTAAATCAGAAGAGTTTTCGGCTAAACATTAGGAAGAACTTCCTGACAGTTACAGCGGTTCCTCAGTGGAACAGGCTTCCTTGGGAAGTGGTGGGCTCTCCTTCTTTGGAGGTTTTCAAACAGATGGTCATCTGACAGCAATGCGGATTCTATGAGCTTAGGCAAATCATAAGAGGGAGGGCAGGAAGGGATGCCTTAGTGCTTAGTTCTTGTGGCCCTTTTTTACACGCCCAGGGAAATGCTGATCACCACTTTGGGGTCAGGAAGCAATCCTGGAGGGTTTTTTGTCAACGTCTGGGTGTAGAACAGCGGTCACTGAGGGTGTGGAGGGGGAGGTATTTGTGAATTTCCTGCATTGTGCAGGGGGTTGGATTAGATGACCCTGGAGGTCCCTTCCAACTCTATGATTCTATTTATTTATTTATTTTATTCAATTTATACCCCGCCCTCCCCGCAATGCGGGGGACATAAATTGCAGTCGGTGTGGTTTTCTCATTGCCTTGCATATCTTAACAAATAAGAAACTACCTCTGGGATCTGTAACTGTGGTTTTGTTGGATCCCCAAGCATCGAGAATAAATCCACGTTTTCAAGAAAAGCAAAATTTATTTCAAAGCATTGGAAAGACACTCAAACACGTTCTTTGTTAGAACTGACTACAAACGGTTAGGGCAAGCATGATAAAGGGATCTGAAACAGAT